ATGGATTAGGGTTGAATTGCAAGGTACCACCCATACTGCGTTCATAACTTGAGCTGAGATTGTTCCATTAGAGGTGATTGATTTAAAAATGACTGAAGAGCCCTGGAATTTTTGCATTTGGCCAAATTCAATAGTCAAAACCTCTCGAGACAATCCCCATAAGCCACCACCCTGAACAACTGCCAATTTATTTAAAAAACAACATCAGAAACTCCATATTAAAACGCCATCCGGCAACTATTGAAAACTCAAATATGCTCCTGCTGATTAATTTTGTCTTTGATACCCCGCCAACATGATTCAAGCAAGAGGTTGTCAATTGTAAAAACATGCACACAAGTATGAAACACAGTAATTTACTTCTTGGAAACATTATACGCAGATATATTTTCCTTATCCCAGGGTTATTTTGAATGCTTTCTTTTAAAGAATTCAATTTTATTTTATATAATCTTGTATTTGATTTTTGCATTTTATGGCTCTTTTAATAAATGGCCCACTACATCTTTAAATCTCCAACCGTGTTTAACCGCAAAAAACCTCATGAACAAATAAGGTAGGCTTGATGGGTTTGACCGATATCCAGGAGTAGCCAGATGACATGTTTTCAATTAAGGTGGTACAATAATGATGAACAAATTTGAAAAATCCCAACTGCTGAGTCCTGACCCAAAAATGTGCTCCCCAAGAAATGACAGATCAATTCTGATGCGTTTCGTGTCCAACAGGTGAATTCAGATAAATGCAAGCGAAGGATGATCTGTGAAGTTGCTGCTGCTCCCGAAGATTTTTATCCAGTTAGTGACATCATCCTACGACAAATAAGGTTTGTTTCTTCAATTGCATGCCAAATGGGATTCTCTGTGTGAGACTCAGGAGAATTAAAGCAGGATTTTTTTCCAGCACTAACTAAATGTATCATCATGACTAAAATTTGAGAAAATTGAAGGTTATCTTCCAAACACTTTCACTGATCCTTAAAGGATAGTTTTCCTGATCCCTTTCTGTCCGTTTTTCATCATTCCATTTTCAACTCTCGTGCATATCACTCAAAAAGGGTTGCCAAACTTGAAAGTGTATTTGCCAAAAAAGAACTGAATTATACCAACTTTAAAATAAGGTAAAATCACCCTGGTTGCAGCCCAACCGAATTCTGGAGTTTTTACTCCAAAATATATATTTCTTTTAAATTCTCCCCAGGATTATTGTCTGGCCTTCAGCAGGTAGGTGGGCAAGACCATGTGCTGTTGAAGTGAAAAGGAATCCCATTCTTTGAAATCTACTCGAATTATTCACGCTTTAATTTTTTTTTGGCAGGCCGAAAGCACCGATTGCACCGAGGCGATCGAGCAGATTTTTCCGATTTTTGGAAGCAGCCAAGCTGGGTTTCAACGGGGACGTCACCAAGTGTGCAGAACAGCACAAGTGCGCATTTGGCGGAACTGATGTTTTTGATCCGAAAATCCTCCGGGTATTGCAACTTCTTGGACGATATCTCAACATTGAGTTTGTAGACAAAACCGTCTGATCTTGTTTCGTAAAGTCTTTTGAACCTCTCATTCCGACCAATAAAACCCAAAAAAAAAGACCTGGAAATTCGTTATTTGATTATGCTTTGGTTGAGGAAAACAGAAAGAATTGCTCAGTTTTCGTACGAGGTCTCACCTTCCAAATAAATTGAAACTTTGAACGCAATCATATGCAGCAAAATCTTGTTACAACGAAGCCGTTGAGATTTGTCAAATACCTTCGTTTATTATCGAGGAAATTCGTTATAAACGAACTCAAGTAACATATTGAAGCTATATTGGGCAGCAGGGACCTGAAAAACGAATTCGTTGCAATCGCTTATTTGTTCAAACGGAATTCGTTGTAACCAGATTCCACTGTATTCATTTTTTCTTTTCAAAACACGAATGGTTCGGGATAAACATTTGAAAAATCACCCTGGGGAAGCCAAGTTTTTACATTCATCAACAAATTGTTCATTCCTTTGACTTTCGCGATCGTTTTTTGCTGTTCCAGATTATTTCTAGAGAACACTTTGGCATTACTTAGGTAGAATTTGTATGTATGTTGAAGTGAGAATGGAAATATGATTGTTTCAATGGGGTGTATTTTTTTTTTGTGCGCTTGGAATGTTTTTTCCACGTCGTCAGTGTCCTGCTGATTAAAAAATTTGCGGTAGACGGGTTCGACGGCCGAAAGGCGTTTCTTGAAAATCATCAGGGAATTTCTTCGGCTGTGACGGTAATTACAGACACAATAAACTAATGTTTTTGCCCGCCAATTGTTTAATTTCACGAGTCAGTCTGTAGTTGAATTTTCAGCGGAATATATCACGACTCTATGCATAGAGACGTCTGAAACATGCTGGAAGAATCAATTGATCAAAAATTACTCACACCCTCAAAAAAAGTCGACCAATACATTTTTAGCTCACAACTAGCAAGTATAGCGTGTGAATGTATTCACACGGATGTGATAATTGAGGGAAAATACTGTATTACCCATAATGGTGGGTTCTTATCAGATATCGAATCGAAAAATGAGTATAATCATGACAAAAATTGTTTTAGACTTCATATAAAAGCGTTAGACTTTATGTAGTAACGTTCGCATGAAAAAGCATTCTAATTGAAATTGAGCATCAAATATTCCCGAATATCGTTTAATTTCACATCACTCCGTATTCGAGCAGCTTACAGTCAATGTTTTGAAGTATGCTTCGACATTCTAAGCACGCGTATATACTGAACTTGTGTCTTGTGTTTTGTGTCACAACATTGTCACGGTAATCCATCAAGGGCACTTTTGCATTTCCATCAACACTATGCGTCACTGTCTCAGGTTTTCTGAAAGAAAACAACGTAAGATAGAAAAATATCATGGGTCTCTTCCCATTTCACAGAAATTTTGGGAAACTTCATTCGGAGCAGTTCCTGCATTCGGTTTACAGCGTTCCACTTTTTTTTTTCAAGGTGAAAAACAAAAGATGCATTCTTTGCAGTTTCATCTTTAGAAAAATCCGTTCATCTGTTTTAGTTTTATTAAGGAAAGGACGTTTTTTTTACGTATGCAGTGCAAATTTGCGACACAGTCGATCGATATGAAAGTTATTCCCGAATATTGTGCTGTGATTTTCTGCTGTTCAGTTTTGTTTTGCGGAAACGTCCTGACAAAAGCCTGCATTGATGTTCAAAATCAAAGACGATCCGAATCTGGGAACGAACAGAGAGGAATTCCATCTGTTACACCGGCTACACCAATTACAATCGGTATTTCTTTTATTAATTCTGAGTCATATAAATACTGCACTGCGATACAGTTATCAGCAAATTTTGAGGTATGATAGACAGAAGCTTCTCATTATAGTATACAATTTATTGCACAACAGGCTCGAACCGTATGATAGCTGCAAACTTTTGCTCAACGATGCTTCGGATAACAAGCTGCGAGATTAATGCTCATCTTAAAATCCAGAAAAATCCAATATTTCCGGAAAATTTTTGCTCGCATGACAATTCAATGATTTGAAAAATGTTGTATTATGTCCTTCCAGAAACGAGTTCATGATTATTTTCCTTTCAACTTATAAGGGGTTTCGTGATCTTATGTATAGAAAAGAGGACCGATTGCCAATGGTCGAAAGGGTACTGTTTCCACATATTACTGTATTTGCTGTTATATATAAGCCCTGCATGGCTAATTCCAAATCCATGACCGTCGTTTTCATTAGGGTCCCGTGAATGTTTTGAATCAGATTGAATGATCTATAAATGATTATTATTGAATTTGTCAAAGATTTTCATATGCAGTCAGACATTTTTGGAAATACTGTAGACAAATCTTGTTACCAGAGAGTCATTGGGGAATATTTTGTGAAATTTGACAGGCCAAAATGAAAATAAAATTTTGAATATTGTGCAGTGACCTCAAAAACAATTTTGTTGCAAGCTATTAATGCTTCAAGCAATACAGATGGTACCTTGAAATTTGACCCTAATCCATTACTGGACTTGGGTTGGATTGCAAGTTACCACCTGTACTTATAGAATAAGGCAATTCTACTCTCACTTTCAAAAGCTGCAAGGATAGTGGAATTAAATATATTTTTGCCAAAAGATGAAAAATTCAGCCAAAATGAGGAAAATAATGTTTAGCACCATATTCTAAATTTGCTTTGGAATCATGTTCAAAACTTCGAATTCAGTATTAAGGATTTGCCTTAAACAATACTTTTTTGCCAAAAGATGAAAAATTCAGCCAAAATGAGGAAAATAATGTTTAGCACCATATTCTAAATTTGCTTTGGAATCATGTTCAAAACTTCGAATTCAGTATTAAGGATTTGCCTTAAACAATACTGTACACATTCAATTCTACTCTTATATCTTACAGTTTACTAGCTCTACATTTGATTATATGTTTTCCAAAGTTGGGGACAAATGGACAACTCATTCTCCACAAAATTGATTTTTTTTTCTCATCAAACTGTGCTTTTGAATGGATTTCCATTACGAAACCGATTAAGTAGCGCGCATGTGTCTTTATTGAGTACATACAAGTGTACAAACGAAATGCAGACCGTACGAAACCAAATAATCCCCTTGCCGCTGTGTGTCAGGAAATCTCTTTCTTCTTGAGATAAATAAGCACAGTATCAGTATTCTGATCAAACATCATGAAGAATACGAAAATTCAAGGCAATTTGCTGGATCTGATAACCCTGCTGTTCCATTATTGTAGGACAGTATAAGTTGTAAGGCCACAGGTATAAGTAGGGCAAACAGTGAGCGTTTGCAGACTTGTTGCAACCTGCGGCTTTTGCGTAGTTCCTTTACGACGTTTTTGCAGCGTTACTCCGCTGACGCCCAATCCGAGATTCCCGGAAGAAATTGGACGAGCATGACGTTGGGAAGAATAATTTTCGGCGTCAGACGCGACATCTACCAATATTCGCTATGAACATAGAAGCTCTTGAAGAGATATTTGACTACATGGAGGTGAGTTAGCCCGTTCGCCGACGATCTATAGAAATACGGAAGACAAATGATGATAATTCCTGGCTAAAAAACGACTCATACATTGTTTACTTGAGAAGTATTATGGTTCATCATGTGACTTGTTCATATGTTCAGTGCTTATTGAGTGAAATTGTCTGAGATATTTTGCAGAATTTCGACAACGGAAGTTTACTGCGAATAAGAACGCGTATCAAATGAAAATAGTTCCATAAAATTTAACCAATCGCTGATTGGAGGATGAGGATGAACTCATCCATGAACTTGTTCATGAGGATTGACAAATAACTTGGGAATAACTCTACATTATGTGCGCAAAAAATAAGTCGCACCTTCAAAAAAGTCAACTTGACGGAATTCTATGCTTCCCATATATGCACAGTATACTTTAGACTCAAGACCGTGAATTTTGGAAGAGAAAAGAATGAAATTACAATATTCGAAAATCAAATTTTAATTTTGATGTATTCGCTTTTTTGTCTTACCTTTCTGAGCTGAACATTTTCTCCAAACTTAATTATTTGAAGATCTGCATTGTTATCCCCTGAACATGATCAAATATACAGAAAAAAAACACATGTAACGTGCAGGTGGATTCTATGGCCTGCAGAGCAAGGATCGTTTGCCAAATTTCTTCGTCTTCCGCAAAATTCTTCCCATTGGCTGATTTCTTGCTGGAACAAATCAACTATGAGTGAGTTCACATTGCACTGCACGATTGGTGAAACCTGGAAAACAATAATAAGGCATAAGTTTATCCATTCTCATTTCAAAATGTTGTAGATTCCTACTCATGACTGCAGACAATTTGAGGAATGAAAGTGAATGCAGTGATGACCGGAAGAAGGAGAAATTTGCGTACAAAAATTTCCCTGCCATCTGAATGCTGCTGACGTCGTGGACGAGAAAAAACTTCGAATTTTTCAGTTACTCGCTCACAAATTCCACTTCAACATTTTTATATGAAGAAAAATTCTCACATATGAGAAAGTGTTGCACCTCCGTGCTGTCTTTTAAAAGCAAAATGAAGCTAAAAAATTCACTCGATCCGATCATGTCTCTCTTGAACAGGAAAAAAAAAAATCAACTGTGCTTCCTCTTCAAAAAAGTTTTTCAAAAGCAGCATTTGAAAAGCCAGTCATCTAAGATCTTTGAATATCACCCTAAATCCATGCCTCGATCACCTCTCGGGAATGTGTTGTTCATACATGAAAACTGTTCCCTGTAATTCGATCAAGAAAATCTGCAAAATCGATTTCTTTCAACGAATAATCATCCCTCCTCCTCCTTAAATTTCTTTTAACGATCTGCCTCGACGAAGAATTACTTTCGAAACAAAGAGAAAAAAAATTACGTGTATGATTCATGTATGTGTGGTTTGAATGCTCCGCGTTCTTTCGATCAAAATGGTGACAAACTTTTCTGAAAACTGATTTTTCAGCAGATCATTCTTTTGGGGACATATACTAAGTTTTTGGCTATAATTAGGAATCTTAACAATCGCAATCTTTCTTTTGTCCTATTTAAATAAAAGAAAAGGAACAATCGAAATCGCCGCATGGATTTCGCGAGTTTCCTCAAAGCGTTGTCGATAATTTTCGAGATTGTGCAAAGAGGTGAAATCGATGTAAACAATGTCAGAGATTTGTTTTCCGCACTTTCGCCAATCATAAGCAGAGAAGCCAGAATGGTGAATTTGACCCCGAGGGCTCCAATAACGACAGGTGAGAGACAATATGTTTTTCTGCAATAACTGTATTGGTAGAAAAATCTATGAAATTGAGTGAATTATTGATTGCATCGGCTTTATGATAAGGTATATATGTGGAAATACACGTCGCCATGTTTTTCCCTTTCATTCAACGCCGTCGACTGGCACATACAAGCGAAATAATGCCGACTGAAAGCAGAGGATATTCCGAAGATAATGAGCGAGATTCAGGTCAGACCAGGTTCATTAAAAATTGCTGGAAATTTATGAAAATGTCTTCGAAACTCTTTCGACAGATTTGCATATAATAAAGAGCAGAGCAAAAGCAAGGAAAACCGAATCGAGCGAACAAATAAATTCGTTTGTCCATTTCGATGAATTTTATCGCCCGCAAGTGGAGAAGATCGAGTCATATTTCAGCCTTTTAGAGGTTGAATTATTGTTGTTACCTTTAATCTTAGATGCTGAACAACTTATTTTTCTGTTTTTTTATTTATTTCAGATTCGGACTGAAGATTGCAAGATGCGAATATTATGTGAACTCGCTGCTTCCCCTCAAAAGTTCTTTCCCGTCGGAGAGATTTTTATGCGAGAAATAAGGTACTGATGTACATCCAAAACTCATCATAATTATGGCATTGCTGTCAACCTCCAGACAATGAACTTTATTCATGCAACAGACCAGTCTGCTGTGTAAAAAGTCAGTTATGGAAATTCAATTATGAAAAATTAAAATTACCATTAATTTTAGACAAACTGAAGTCTGTTATACAGATTTACTCCATCGTGCAGGAGGGAAAAAATCCATTTGTGCAATCCTGTTGTGCAAAATCCATTGTGCAGGAGGTCTGTTGTGCGGGTAATTGCGACATGACAGAGGATATTTTTTCGCGTCTTTTTTAAAAGAGGAAGCACATCAACTGAACTTCCTGAAGATTTAAATCGAATTACTTTCTTCAAACACATACAAGCCGGGGTTCAAAATTTTGGAATTGCATGTAGAAATAAGTTGCAGGATGACCTCTCAGGCATCTTAAGCTGCCAATTTCCAAAATTTTAACTTGATGAATTTTTGGATTACTGTGAAAACGGAACGTTAAATAGAAGGAAAGTCAGCAGAAGTTCGAAAAATTCGCGATGATTTCCTTTTAAAGCCAGAAAAGCTAGGTTGGAGAAAAGCTGGGATGAAGAGAGGTCAAGTATTTCGATAAATGTCAGCGTTGAGCTTTTGGTTTATACTGTATATCAAATAATGTATGTCTTTCAAATCGCATATGAGTCCGGAATTTTTGTGCTTCTTACCTCCATAGAGAATACAGTTATCCCGCACAACGGACCTCTGGCACAACATATTTTTGCTGAACAGACCGCTTCTGGAGACATTTTTCCCTGTCACGTGATGGACTAAATCCGCATAACAGACTTCTATTGGTTTGAAATTAATGTTAAAAATTACAAATGCTCATTTTTTAAATAATAGAATTAGCATAGCAGACGTTTCACACAACAGACTAGTCTGTTGCACAAATTAATTCCCTTGTGCAGGGGCTGACTGTACTTTGCTTTCATGGAGGGGAAGAACAAATGACATTTTATGGACTGATTCCCATAAAAAAAAATTTCGAATTATTCAAGAGAACTCAAAAGAGCTGACGTACCCTGGAAACCCATTGGTTTTGTGCACGTGGCAAATTTTTCTTGTTTTTTTTATATGCTTAAATATTGAAAATCTTGTCAAGTGTACAATATTTTCAACTCTAACCCGGCATTTCAGCTCTCTGCATCAAGTGACTCGGACGGATACCAAGGAAGGCAGATTGCTGAATTTCTTGAATGCAGCTGAAGCCGGTTTCAAAGCCAAAAACCTCAGCCAATGTGAAGCCACGTTCCGTAACTGTGCCATTGGTTGCAGCGACATCTTTGACCTGCGGAAGCTTCGTCTGATTTCTCTGCTGGATCAGGTTTTGAAAATAAAAATAGATTAAAAATATCTGCGCCGAAAAAATCCCTCACTGATGTCTTTGGAACTAAAGAAAATGGAAGAATAACTGTATAATACAATACAGTACATGTATCCTGAATCTCGGCTTGTGAACGAACACAAGTTGCAGTTGGAATATTTTTTGTGTGGGTCCAACTTTCTATAGACCCGTTTCCATCAGGGCAGTGTATGTGAAAATAAACCTTCCATTTGTTCGACTTGCTCAGTATTTCATCTTTTTTTTTGTAAAGAGAAAACGTGTTGTTGGAGACTGCAGCAGGTGGAAGATATTGAATAACATGTAACTATCCTCCCACATTCCAAAAACTGGTCCTTCTGTGGGAGCCTCAGAGATGACCAAAAAATAAGATAGGAATGTATGGCAAGTTGATTTCCATTTCAAGGAAATCAACTTTATTGTTTGTCCTCTCTCTTCTCCAACTCAACAAATTTACTCATTCCACTGCCAACTCTCAAGCTGAATATTAGACATAAAAACTATGCATTGAATGCTATCAAACACTTCGTTTGAATTTATACTTGTGTTGTGTGAAAGCCATTTGTGTGTGAGTTGCAAAGTTCTCTGAGTTGAATAATGATATATTGGGACATCAATAAATCTCAATTTATTCTTGGAGCCTCTGTATACAGAGGCTCCCAGCCAGTCCCAGGCTGATTGTTGTGTTTTAATTTAAATTCTAATCAAATTTATTTGTTAGGCACATTCAATCCCTGACACCTGTAACAAGAGAAAAACTAGCTTTACAAATCCAAACAAGAGAATGCAGAATTTCTGGGAGGCTCATTAGTTGAGTTCATATCTTAGGGATAACGGCATATATTTGTATTTTCTCATTGATTATAGTTAATCTTAGACCCTAAAATGACGCAGAGAGAGGTTTTCTTGTGGCAATAACTCCACTTTTAAAAAACTAAATATGTGATGCATTTTTCAGCTTCTCCTTTAATTTGTTATTTTGATGAAGATGGGAACGGTAAAAAGAGCAAAGCATCCGAAACGTTATCCTGTAAAATTCACAAAGCGATTTTGACTGATGTCAGCATTGAAAATAGGCTGAAAAATTATTCCGCCAAGTATATGTGGACAAGGTTTTGGAATGAAACGACTCAAGTGAACCTGAACGAAAGTTACAATTACCTTTGACACATATGCGGGCGAAAAAAGCGCCGGTCTCCAGGATATTTTTTGTTACTCTGTCAAATGCCATTTTGTTGCAATTTGTTGGCGTGGAATGCACGCGTTTAGGTACCGCAAGTGTTTCATGCCACCTGATTCTGCGCGCTAACTGGGACACACGTGCCAAAGGGTGATCCAGCCAAAAAAAAAAAAAAAAATTCACTGATACATATGATAAAAATTGCGGCACTGTTTCATCTTTCATTCAACCCAATAAAAAAAAGCTGTAATCATGATCCTCTCTTTACTTCCGTCGCTGATAAATTTTGAGGTCCATACCCGTTGTGCAACTACTGTATGATGAAAGATAACATCAAAATAAGTCTTCTGGTGAATGGATAACTCCCTTCATTGTAATTTTCACAAAAACAGATCATCGGGGTGCAAATAAGTCAGCACATGCAACAACTCGACAAAAGTATTTTTTCAAATTATCATTATTTCTCATTGGAAGTTTGTGATCAGCTGTTTCTAAACGTTGTATTCAGTTTGTAGTACAGTACAGGGTAAAAAGAAATTGAAAGTGGACAAGAAAATCAGGTGCTTCAGAACACAATTAAATAAAGTATGATATATTTCATGGGACAATTCACAATTGAAACTATCTTTGAAATGCCTCACTTGAGGAATGAACTTGACCATTGTCAACCTTCAGCAGGAAGAAACTAGAGAATGATGTTTGATGACTTCCAAATTGGCACATGCAGGTTTGGAAGTTATGCAGTTTGGCCTTAATCTGCTGCCAGGCACTACTGTCAAATTTCAAGGCAATGTCAAATTCAATTTTTTCTACATCGAATTGAAAATTTATCATCTCTCTGAAGTTCACATTTTGGGCAGTGGTCAAACTGCAAGTCAACATTCCAGCAAATTAGACTGTTGAATTGCAGGATGGTCATCAAGTTGCTAGGTATCACCTGTATTTTAGACCTCACTAACTTTAGAGAGGTAAAAAAAGTGCTTGATAAAGAGAGATTAGGCAGCTTGAAAGGGTTAATGCCATGCATGTTTTACAGACAACAGGAGGGAAAGAAAGATCTGCTGGGAAATCCATTGACTGCTTTTGAAATATTGAAGATTACCATAATTTAATCAGCTTAAAATCCTTAAATGATGGAAAATTTCTCAAAAATTGCCCCAAATTTCTTTCAATGCAGCAGCACACAGTACTGGTACCAGTAATGAGATTATAGAAAGAAAAAAAAAACATTGCAAATATGGCAACTCCACAGGACAAATTTCATCCATTTATTGGATCGATCACAGGAATTCTAAAACAAGTGACCCTTTTTGAATGAACACCTGCCACAATAAATGTTTCCACTTGTAAAATCACCTGTAACTTCGTTTTCCAAAGCATTTTTCTCAACGAGTATGTTGTAATTGAGCCATAATTTAACGTGCCAGATACTCAGCATGTGCGCAACATTTAGTGAAACAGACACCACGCATGTGTGTTCAACTCTTCTTGAATTCACGCATATAAAAAGCCGTCGAATTTCCCTCATGCATCAGTTCTTTCAAGGTTTAGTTTCAGAAAGACCGAAATAGTCCACACTAGAAAAAAGAAATGTTTGCAACATTCCTCCTAGTCACTTTCTTGCTCCACTCGTCCGCATCCCAGGATGTGAGTATATAGATACTCGATTTGCACATAAACGATCACTGCCATTCTTCTGTGAACTGCTGGGAAAATGTAGCATTTTCTTCTTCTAATCAAACATAATTGAACAGAAGTCTAAGCCAAAGTATAGAAAAATATCTCGAGTTTTTTCTTGCATGACACGAGGTTGGATCGAACACGAGGGTTCCAACATTTCGTTCAACATAAAAAGCCTGATTTTTGCAATAGTACCGTAGCTGAATTATCAATACATAAGATATTTTTCCATGACATTCTGTAAGATTCTGAAGAATATATTACTGTATAATATTCTAGTACTATGCATACATGTTATATTGTATTATTTTGCTAAGAAAACGATTCACCAATCTCTCATTTTTGAGTTCTAGTTCAAAAGGGATGCGCTCGTTGCTAGTATTTGAGGATTTAAAAATGAAGAAAATTAAATTCACTGAAGATTTATAGAAAGTTTTCATATTATATCAAGACGTTTGTATACCATAATGGTATTAACTGTAGAAATTAATGCATAACCTAACTTCAAAATGTTTTAAAAATGTAAAAATCGTGCCATTATGTTAATTTTTTAGCCTCAAAAGATGCACACGCAGATTTGCGTACAGCACTTGAAAAATGGACCGCTGAGTTATTCATGTATGCGAAACAATATTTCAAATAATTTCGAACTTCAGAGTGTCCTAACATGAAATTCTTCGACAAAATCGTTCAGTTCTGAGGAGAATTTGGACATGGCAGGAATATAATCGTGTTGGAGTTCACGTTTATTCATATGGCGTTGGTTCGAGTGAAAAAAAAATTTCTGTGATTTCATTGCAGGAGATGGAACCGGTGTCTGAAATCCCTGAAGTTTTACCTCAAAATGACCACGACGTCGATGAAATCCAACCAGCAGCACTGAATGCTCTGGAGGAAACTGCTGAAAATGAGGGAAAAAAACGCAATCCAGGAATTTACGATCTTGCAGATCCAGCACAAGTTGCGGAATACCAGACGATATTGAATGCTTCTGCAACAGTCGAAAGTGCGTATCCGAGGATGGGAATCTTTCAGATGCTTTTTTTAAAACGATGAGTTCATTATACAATTTATGGTTTTTTGTTTTGTTTTTTGCTCGCAGAAACTGGAATGCTCTCAACGTGTTGTGAGTAACAGCTGAAATTCCTTTATTCGTTTCCTTTTTATTTCTGATCGAAATTATAAAAAAAAAAGACTGCGGAAGGGAGAACGGTGGGAACCGGATCTTGGGGGGTTGGCAGGTTGCGAACCAGGGTTACTACCCTTGGATTGTCCGATTAAGTTCAGGCTGTGGAGGTACCTTGGTCAGTGACAGATGGATCGTGACTGCAGCGCATTGCGTCACAATGTGAGTTGTAATTTTTTTCTTTTCAGGACTTCCCTAGTTCTGACTTTCTTGAGGATTTCATTCATCTTCTGCTCTAAAACAGTGTTCCCCAACCCATGGTCCATGGAAGTTTCTTTTTGGTTCAGTGGGAAATTTTCTCCATCATAACACAATTTTGAAAGTATCAATGGTGTATGCTAACTTTATTTGAAATTTTGGAGAGACAATGGCAGTTGAAATTAATTGATGAAAAATAGTGTAGTTCAGTGGTTTAGTTGACTTTCCTCCAAATATGGTGACACTTCAGGCAAATTTCCATGTGCTCTATCAAATTATATTGATTTTTCATTCTGAGAAACCTTTCTTCAAGCCAACCTTTCTAATTTTTGAAGACATTGGACCATATACTGTACAAGGGTTCTAACAAAAGTTCTGGAAATAGAAATGAAAATGGCATACAATTGAGCAGAAAAAAATAATCTGTAAGGAAAACATATTCTTTGGCGCACAAAATAAATCAGCCCTGTTTGACAATTTTTTTTAATGTTTTTCAAAATTCTCCTTGTAAGGCAGAGTTTTGCTCTTCACTCAAAAAGATGAGGCGCCCTTCCTACAGTTTTTTGTTTTTTTTTATCCCAGCTTTCCCCTCAGAATTCTTGAAATCAACCTGGCATTAATTTCAAGGGTTGCCTCCATCAGGTCTTCCAAGGTAATTCTGCCATTTTCATCAATAGCCGCCTTCAAAGTTGCCATATTGGCCGCCATTTTTTTTTTGAAAATGTGGTTTTTTAGATTAATTTTTTAATCTACTAAATTTTTTAATTATTTTCAAACCTCAGAGTGTCTGCATACATGCAATTCTTCGACAAATTCGTTCAGTTCTGAGGAGAATTTCGACATGGCAGGAATTTAATCGTGTTGGAGTTCAAGTTTACTCATATTGCGTTTGTTCAAGTGAAAAAAATAGAGTTTCTGTGATTTCATTGCAGGAGATGGAACCGGTGTCTGAAATCCCTGAAGTTTTACCTCAAAATGACCCCGACGTCGGTGAAATCCAACCAGCAGCACTGAATGCTCTGGAGGAAACTGCTGAAAATGAGGGGAAAAAACGCAATCCAGGAATTTACGATCTTGCAGATCCAGCACAAGTTGCGGAATACCAGACGATATTGAATGCTTCTGCAACAGTCGAAAGTACTTATCCGAGGGTGGAAATCTTTCAGATGCTTTTTCAAAACAATGAGTTCATTATTTAATTTATGGTTTTTTGTTTTGTTTTTGCTTGCAGAAACTGGAATGCTCTCTACGTGTTGTGAGTATCAGCTGAAATTCCTTGATTCGTGTGCTTTTTATTTCTGATTGAAACTATGAAAAAAAAAGACTGCGGAAGGGAAAACGGTGGGAACCGGATCTTGGGGGGTTGGCAGGTTGCAAACCAGGGTTACTATCCTTGGATTGTCCGATTAAGTTCAGGCTGTGGAGGCACCCTGGTCAGTGACAGATGGATCGTGACTGCAGCGCATTGCGTTACAATGTGAGTTGTAATTTTTTAATTTTTTTTTATTTTCAGGAATTCCTTAGTTTTGATTTTCTTAAGGATTTCATTCATCTTATGCTCTAAAACAATGCTCCCCATCAACCCATGGTCCATGGAAGTTTTATTTTTGGTTCAGTGGGAAATTTTCTTCATCAGAACATAATTTTGAAAGTACCAATGGTGTATGCTAGCTTCATTTGAAATTTTGGAGAGACAATGGCAGTTAAAATTAATTGATGAAAAATTGTTGAGTGGTATAGTTGACTTTCCTACAAATATGGTAACACTTCAGGCAAATTTCCATGCGCTCAATCAAATTATATTGATTTTTCATTCTGAGAAACCTTCGTTCAAGCCAAGCTTTCTAACTTTTGAAGGCATTTGACCATACAAGGGTTCTAACAAAAGTTCTTGGAATAGAAATGAAAATGGCATACAATTGAGCAGAAAAAAAATAATCTGTAGGGAAAACATATTCTTTGGTGCACAAAATAAATCAGCCCTGCTTGACAAATTGTTTTTAATGTTTTTCAAAATTCTCCTTGTAAGGCAGAGTTTTGCTCTCCACTCAAAAGATGAGGCACCCTTCCTACAGTTTATTGTTGTTTTAGCCCAGCTTTCCCCTCAGAATTCTTGAAATCAACCTGGCATTAATTTCAAGGGTTGGCTCTGTCAGGTTTTCCAAGGTAATTCTGCCATTTTCATCAGCAGCCACCTTCACAGCCGCCACATTGGCAGCCAATGTGGCTTACAGTATGCATGATGTGAGTTTGGGTAAATGTCAACTTTTTGGGCATGGAATAAAAAATTTGCCCGGAATAAAGTAATACGGCATTGCATTTTGACCTGTATGTATTTTTTCTTAGGAAAGGGGGGAATAGGCATCATACCACTCAATCAGCAATGCATTTGACCTTACACAGATATCTGTGTCAGGTCAGATGCATCAGCTCGCACTTGCTGTCACCAAAAATGGTGCAAAAAGGAGCGGAATTTCGGAAATAAAACACTTTAATCAGCTGTGGGGTTCAGCTGGGGATCTTGTTTACAAGATCCCAAAGAAAAAGATACGATGTATTTCAAAACTTTTAACCCCAAACACAAAAACGGACCTTTTCACGAATTCAGACACACAGTAAAAACGATTCTTCTCAAGCACACAGAATTAAATAATTGAATTGAATAAATCCGATAAAAATCTTGCACCACACTGTCTGAGAGAATGTTCCATGACATGGCGGCGAGTTGGAAGCTGCTGAAAACATGAGGAAGGTCTTGAATGTTTGAGATTAATGAAAATCCAAATCTTGGATGAATTTTGCGTACAGCGCACATAGATTTATGGTACTTTAACGTACTGAATTATTCCGCCACACTTGTCACCTAATAAAGAATGGTCCACAATGAGCATTGCTTGTCTGTCTGGAAATTAGGAATGGAAGAGTCTTGGAACCCGATGTCTTATTGAAGATTTCACTTTTATGTTCCATCCTAAAATTTTGTGGTAGCGTGAATCGGCGGGGGAAAAAAAACTAAAATTCCCAGCCGCCGAATGAAAAAAACATTAATTTCCATCAGTCGTTTCATATGAATCATCACCACTTTTTAAATTTTGTTTATTCACAGGTACACTTCGCCATCACAGCTGTCCATCAAATTCCGAGAGCACCAGCTGTTTGCACCGGATGTCGGGGAGTTCCAAGTTCAAGGCAAGACGATTTTGTACTACTCCACTCTGTACAACCCCTCTGGTTTGGCCTATGATATCGCCTTGGTGGAATTGTCTGTTCCCGTTACCATCACCGGAGGCTCGTACATCCGCCCCGCTTGCTTGATTGCCCAGGGCTTCGACACGAATGGATTCACCGGAGTTCCGATTGGCTGGGGAATTTACAGTGAGAAATGCCTTTTAGAGTACAGTATAGTAAACTGTATATTAAATAGATGTGTAAACGAAATCCCGAGTTTTAAAAATACGGAATGCATATTGCAATCGCGTCTTGCACACGAAGAATAGTTTCCGTTCGGTTTGCGATATGCATGAAAGAAGACGACCCCGATGATTCCTGAGACTTTTATTCGCGTAAACTTATTATGCGGTCAAATTGATGAGAATTGCAACTAAAATTTTAAAGCTTGTACAGTATAAGCATATTTGTAAAGCTTTCCCCGCAATTTGACATACTTTTTCGCATTTTTGCACTTAGTTTTTGAATTTATTCACAGAGTGTCTCGCAATTTGACCAATTTGCAGTTTGACCCTAGTTTGGTAATGGATTAGGGTTGAATTGCGAGGTACCACCTGTATCCTATACTAAACCAATAAAGTTGATATGAACTAATACAGTGTTGTATTGTGCTTTGTTTGTTTGTGCAGTTAATGGGTATGGATCCCAGGCCCCAGTGCTGCGTGAAACCAGGGTTTCCATCATCAACAGAAACAATTGCCTTAAGGCTGGAGGAGTTCCCTCAACCACTCACATTTGCGGATACACGAAAGGAGCAGGAATTTGCTACGTGAGCTAATTTTAGTCGTATTATGAAATACTATTACAACCCTACAACTTGATGAGTTGATAAAATCATCAGGGAGATTCCGGAGGACCTCTAACGGTGTTATCAAGTGGAAAGCATTACTTTGCTGGGGTCACTTCAGGAAGCTTTGGCGACAAGCAAAACAACATCTGCAACACCAATGTGCCACAGTACTTCACTCAGGCCACACGTAAGTCATTTAACATACACAGAAAAGTACGGTAGCGCACATAACTAAAAAATAGCATGCATTAGTATTATAGCATATGGAGATTAAATGTGCAGAACCCCGATCATGACGACGTATATTTGTATCTTTTTTTAATCACTTATGGTATATGTACGCATTTAATGCTGCTGCTTTGATGAATTAAGTAGATTTAAAATCCCGGGGTAGACTAATAACGCTGATGAATGAACTTGTTTGCAGTTTTCACTAACACGATCATTGAATATGCTTGGAGCAACGCCAACTACTGCAGCTACTGATTGACGACCTGTCTTCAACCCAGAAGCTTGGTTTTATTGGATTTCAAAGACTGTTGCATGGAATGTCTCTGGTCTGAAATAAAACTCCTACACTGCAAATGATGTGCTTTTCTAATAAGGCATATAATCTTGCAATTTAAGAATCCTTCAATAAAAAACCTCATGATGTATCCTGTTTCCATGCCTATTTAAAAAAATGCAAATTGAGAAAAGTTCTGGAATATCGAGGATCTCTTTCAAAATTCTGGGCAAGAAATTCAAACAAATGCTTTCCAGAGTGGATAATTAATCTTATGAACTGATAAATGTGTATTTCACCACTGGAACACCAGCAGCAATTATCAGTCAAATGGTGAAAACAAGCTATAATTGTGGGAAGCCAGGGCCACTTTGCAAGTGAATGTAGAACAATTGGCAAAACGCACATAAGTTTAGGGGCAACTTGGTTTCAATCATCTGCAGAACAAAAAGGTCTGCCACTGCCAAGCTTTGGTGGGGTTGCAAATCTGCTAGCATGACCCTAGCAAAGCGTCCTTGCTTAGGCATGCCAACGTCACAGTTGAAATATTTGCGACACCTGGTGCAAATATTTCAATGGGTATATTAAATTTGATATGCTAGCTTTAAGAGAACCCAAATTTCCCAGCAAATTTAGTCTTTCATTCTATCTGTGTGGGAATCTTGGAAGACCTTGGATCCCACAGATGTTTGGCAGCCTCCAAGGCTGTATTTTATTACCAAGTTCCTGTTGCTGTTTTTTGTCCTTGAAGGACAGTTTTTCTTGATTTCCAAACTTGTCTATTTTATTACAGTCCAAATCAAACCTTTGTGTGAGAACGTTCTCCAAGATTCCACAAGCTTTTACTGTGTTTTTTGAATTATACCAACCTCAAAATAGGGTGTTTAGCACCCTGGTTGTAGCCTGACCAAATTATTGTGTTTCATTTCTAAATTCCATTTCTAAAACTTTCAATTTAAATTCAAACCTTTTCTTTGTTGAGATGTATTCCCAACACCAGGCAACACGCGTGGCAAGGTTGGGTTGACATCTGGTTTACTGCAATGCGGTGAACTGGGTGCAAGATTAGAACCAACTAATTCCCAAAGCAGCAAAGGCTACAATGTTCCAAAGTTTAAAATTACTTTGTCTTGAGAGCTCTGCACCTGCATTCTACCTAAGGAAGATTGTCTTGTCTGTTTGACGTGTTTGTATGTGATTGTCTGTCTCTGTCAGAGTCCTCTGTTGTCTGTTCTGAGTTATTGCCTTTACGTTGATCTGTAATATACAAGCTTGTGGGACTCCCCTAAGGAGGATCCGGCCTCCTAAAGGCTGAGTGCCCTCTGTACATTCATTTGACGCAATTCTTTGTTCAGTGACCCAATAGCTTTCTTGTAGCCGTTTTACTCTATGAAGACATGCCAGTAGCCTCACCCATTCTTCTGATTACAAATATTGCTGACACAACCTTTGATGGAAGAATGGGCCAAGATGTAGATTAAGTACAGCAAAGACTGGAATTAATTACGAGAGAAAGTGCTTGATTATTTCCCAGACACACATTCCTTTCAGCTATTAAGATTGAGAAGTTTGCAGTTGCAAAAACAACCTGATTTTGTCCAAGAGAATAATGAAGAAACTTCCAGGATTATTCAGTAACTGCTTGCACTGAGCCAAAATATTCTCAGCTAATGTTCAAATTAGACTGAGTAAGGATTTTGTCATTGCTTCAAATACCTGAACTATTCTTGTCAATAAAGTCAACCCCTGCACAATGAACCTAATTTGTGTTTTCCTTTGAATAATTCAAACAAATTTTGGAAAAAAACACAGCCATTCTTGAAATTAATCAAACCTGAGCTACAAGCACTTTCAAAACACGAAAGAAGGAAGCACAGAAGTCATACTCAGTCTTTGTTCTGCATGACTTTGAAAATCCAAACTATTTTTTCCACAATTTCTCTTCAATTTTTAAGAAAGTTTGAGGGACTACAGGGAATCCAAATACTGGGATCTGGATCATTTTGGCAGGTGTTCAAATAAACACCTGCCAAAATAAATGTTTCCACAGGTAGAATCATTTGTAACTTCTCTTCCCGAAGCAGTTTTTTTCACCTAGCATGTTTTAATTGAGCAGCAATTTAACCTGCCAGTTCTGACTTCTGTAGCATGCGAAATATAGTGAAACAGACACCACAGATGTGTGTTTGAACCCTCTTGAATTTATGCATATAAAAGCCATCGAGTTTTCCCCAGTTCATCAGTTTTTCGAAGCGACAGTTTCAGAAAAACCGAAGTAGTCCAAAATTGAAAGAAATGTTTTCTACATTCCCCCTGGTCACTTTCTTATTGCTCCACTCGTCCGCATCCCATGCTGATGTGAGTAGATAGTTAGATACTCGATTTGCAATGAACGATTAGTTCAATCATCATGCAGAATCGGGAAGTGCTCACGTTTCTTCTAGAATTCTTCAGAAATCGTACTCAAAGTTTGAAAAAATCTATCGAGTTTTGCTGAGATCACGAGGCGGCATCCAACATGATGGCTCCAAACTGTTCCAATTAACATGAAACGCCCAATTTTACGATGGAGTAGCAGTAGCTGAATCGCAAATACCATATTTGTAATGTGATTTATTTTATAACTTCGTAGTATATAGGGTAGTGCAGGTATATTAATATGTTTTGATAAACGATTCACCTATCACTCAGTCGGGTTCGACTTGAAAAAGTGCAGCTGATAAGCTCCTCATTAAGAATGAGAAAATAGAAAAATTAAATACGCTGAAGATTGATTGGATATTTTGATAATATATTCAAGCTTTTTCTATTCGATAGTATGAATTGTGAAAACTGCTGTCTATACATACGCCTGGAAATATTCAAATACATTTTTAAAAGTCAAGACAAAATCATAATTTAATGAAAGATAGACTAGGTTTCTGTCTGAGAGATGACATGGATATATTATTTTCTAGGATTTTTTAGCTTCAATTGTGTCCTCTAACTCCTCTTCCATGGAATTCTTTACCAACTTTTTTGAATTTTTAGGAAAATTTTGGCATTGCATGTATTGCGCAATGCCCACAAAGAAAAAGATATGAATAAAATGCACAATCCGCCCGGGAACAGGGCATATGTATAATCATCATGAAATATAATTGTTGTATAATGTTCTCATTTATTCATAATGTCGCTCCGGGTGAAAAGAATAAGCTTCGCTGATTTCATTGCAGGAGATGAAACCAGTGTCTGAAATCCCTGAAGTTTTCTCTCAAAATGACCTCGAAGTCGGTGAAATCCAAACAGCAGCACTGAATGCTTTGGAAGATACCGGTGAAAATCAGGAAAAGCAACGCAATCCAGGAATTTACGATCTTTCAGATCCAGCTCAAGTTGCGGAATACCAGACGATATTGAATGCTTCTGCAACAGTCGAAAGTACGTATCCGAGGGTGGGAATCTTTCAGATGCTTTTTTTTTCAAACGATGAGTTCATTATTCAATTTATTGTTTGTTTGTTTTTTTTCGCTCGCAGAAACTGGAATGCTCTCTACGTGTTGTGAGTACAGTATCATATGGAATTCCTTGAGTTGTTTCCATTATATTTCTGATCAAAATTGTAAAAATTAGACTGCGGAAGGATAAACGGGGGGATGAACAGGATCTTGGGGGGTTGGCCAGTGGAGAACCAGGGTTTCTACCCCTGGATTGTCCGATTAAGTTCAGGCTGTGGCGGAACCGTGGTCAGTGACAGGTGGATCGTGACTGCGGCGCATTGCATTACAATGTGAGTTTTTTGTTTTTCACTCAAATCACTGACTGATTTGTACTTTTGTTTCAACGAATTCACCAGATCTAAAGGATTTTTTTTTATGTTCCAAAGTTTAAAATTACTCGATTCAAAATCACATCAATGGCTTCTCGACCAATGAGCCACTGAATTCCCGAAGTAACGAACATCTTACATAAAAAAAAAACCTAGTTTGACCGCCATCTTGGCTCAAGTATCAAACTTGTTTCAAAGAATGAAACCTCAAGTCAGCAGGCGCAAAATGCAGAAGAAGGAAGAATTATTTAAACTGAAAATCAAGAACATGGCAATATTTCACAACAGTGTATTCCAATGTATATTCAGAAATTGGAATGAAAAAGGAAAGGAATTTTAAACCTTGCATGAAATTGAATTATCGATTTTTCCTGTATGTATTCACCTTTTTTTGAAAACATTTTCATGCTCGGCTTTGAAAGTTGATTTCATTTTATGCTTGAACCAATTATTAAACTATTGACAGTGGACTACTAAAAGAAATCAAGTCTTAGCCAACAATTTGGCCGATGGACTGGATACGGTTTGTTGCTCAAGTCCCTAATGTCCTTCAAGAAGAGCAGAGTTTTTTTCATTTACATATTCCAGACTTTTGAGGGATCCACGAAAACTATTCAAGTATCTCTTAGGCAAGTATGATAATCGTGAATCTTTTGCTGCTCGATCATGAAATGTACCATCAGTTGGTGGTACACATGAGAGTTTGCCTAATGTTTGGTTTTTTAAACTAGAAGCAATTCTTTTGTGCAAAATCGAGGGTCGCACACCAATTTTGTGCAGGCAAGAGTACTGAGGAATTTGTTAAAGAAAAACTGGGCAATTGGTTGGTGTGCAACCAACCTGAGGGATTTGAAATAACAAAATTAGCGCAACTTGTAGTTTTGTTAGCACACAGGCAGAACAAACAATTCGGTTCAAAACTTGGCAAACACTTTGAGTAGTCACTTCTTGCAAGAGAAAACACAAAACATTTGTAGAGAATTGCGCAGTGGAAAATGTTTGTCCAGCGTAGTCTCCTTCTTGAAAAGGTCTGATGATTTTCTTGGGGGTTAGGGTCCCTTTTTATACCTTTTTGAAATAATTGGTAGAGTTGGCTGAAATTGGCCAGAAGGACAGTTTGCAGATAGGGTTAACAAGGTGGTCAATAAATCATTGTCCCCTCGGTGTTTGGGAATGCTGGTTTTTCCCAATTTGTTAGGCAACATTTGGTCCGGTTGTGCCCACCCAGCAAAAATGTTGGGAGTTGGAAGCTGGGGCGCTGGCAATAGCTAGTTATACATGTAGTCATTTTCTAGATTTCCACAACTCCCTGGAAAACCTCTAACTCCCAAAGCATAGGAGTTGTGATCAAGGTAAATGTCAAGTAGGTACCATCCTGTTGACAGTCAACTCCATAAATCATGGAGATGTATAAATCTACATTTTTACTAGTTTTCCAGTTAGTTGTTATCAACTGGGGTCATTGGGAGTCATTTAGGAGTTGGTTCCAACTGGCTGATAGCTAGATACTTGGGAGTTGCTGTTTAACCCCAACTAACGTACACCGTTCCCTCAGTAAACCCTCAACCGAGGTTGACCGACAATCGATCTATGAACCCTCGACGACAACTGACCCCACTAACCCTCAGTAAACCCTCAGGGGGATTTTTTTAAATTGTCAGGTGGAGATTTTGCCTCAGCAGAACAATTCAGGGATTAACATCCCTCCTTAAACACAAGAGAGAATATCATTTCATGCCCAAAGAAGACTTAAGAAACAGTAATTACATTAGCTAAATTTTTATAGCCTTCAAATTTTTTGACTCTGCCATTCTGCTGCTCATTGGCAGCCCAAGTGTCTCATGGGCTACTCATCAGCAGCCCAAATCAACATCAGCTAAAAACTTGAGCAACATCAGCCATCATTTTCAACATTGGCTAAATACTTTAGCAACTTTGGCTAAAAACTTTAGCAACATTGGCT